AGAGAATATAACAAATAAGGATCAAAACTGTTAGTGGATTCACCTTTATTCTTGCATAGTTACAGTTTTCTAATACAATTCCTTTTAAGGGCAAAGTGGTTATGTTTGGTCTGTGTCCAAACAACAACAAAAATTACATAAGAAGTCCTCAGCAAATTACTCCCATTCATTCTTTATTATGGGAGAGTGGAATACCATCCTACAATCTCACCGCTCCCAGCTCTGCCTTCAGTAATCCATACTATGTATAAACTTTTTAAATTTCATAAGGAAGAAAAAAATTCCCAAATCTAGAATGCATCTTTGACACCAACTTCACTAGGCAGGTTTTCACTCAAAAACTGTAAGAAACCAAATTACAGTTGAAATTTAAAAATTAATTAAGTTTATCTACTTACAAAATTATGGCTAAGCAGCTGGTGTTTATCTGACTCTCGTCTCACTCTTTAGTTGTTCCTCACAGTCCATCAGTATCCATTCATATCTCATGTTACTCTTCTACTTTGTAGAAGAGGGTAGAGCAGGATCATGTTTGTTCTGGGTTTGTACACAGCCTAACCTAACGGGATCCTGCTCCAAGATCAAAACGTGAGTTCCAGTGTTCTAATAACTGGCAGTATTCATAAAAATAACATTATTATTATTAGTCTGAGAGAGAACATTTGATTTTACTCTTAGGTTAGTGTGCAAGTTCCTATTGTGTCTTATGAGGAATCTCCTCCACTAAGCAAATCTGGTATTTGAAGTTTGCATTCTGTAAATTGCCTGTTAGAATACATTTGCACACGCATATGAAAGGTAAATTTAATAGCACTTTGTTAATCAAGTAAAAAACCTTACTTTGTTTTGCCCACGATGAGCCTATAGTCCATTCAAACAGCAAAGCTGAAAGTTTCATTTAAAGGACAGCAATGAATTCACACCTGGCTTTAGAAAGAATGCAGAGAAAAGGGGCAAGGAGCACAAAGGAAATTCAACAACGCACATAAGTAACAAGCAACTGATTTCTTCCACACAAACTCTGAAGATTCTTCTGCATGCCATGTACCACACAGATGTCTCTATCTTTAAAACAAACAAAAAAAGAGGGCAAATAAATCAACCCAAAACATAACAAACCACAAAAATCATGTCCAAAAGCACACTTTTTTATGGACTAAACGCCTATCAACATCTGCCACCCTTACTCTGAACCCTATGGCATAGACTTGTAAGTGCTCTGTACTGTGTACCTGTCACAAATTTCACTTTGTGAGGTGGGTAAAACTGAGCCCAACGTGTGTGAAGTTAAAGTCTTCCTTACACAGCTTGGGCTTTCATATTCTTCCAGCATCACCACACAGCTCTCTGGGCCTTTAGTTTTCAGACTTTTCATCTAATCATTTCCTATGATTTTGGAAGCTACATATTTGTAAGAATAAATACATTTGTGGAAAATTGATCCTTCTAAACTACCAAGAGGTGCTCCCAAGCAAGCCAATATCTGGAATAGGTAACTCCAACAGGTGAGAAACAAGAGCAGTGCCCACAGTCAGCTGGGTTAGGAATGTCCTCTGTCCATACTCTCTAAGCCTGTGGACAGAAATTGGGCTGGAAATAAAGTGGCAGCTCAACTAGGCTAAACAGAAGAAAACATTAATCTCTTCACTATTTATAACAGTAGAGAAAATACTGCAACAATCTGGTATGTTATCACAAGCCCATGTTCACTACTACTCTAAATTCTCAGTCATAGTGCTCTAGCGGTTTACAGGCAAATTAGCATAGCTCTGCTACTTGCAATGGGGCTTTCATCCAAGTACCTGATAAACTCAGCATTGCAGGCTGTTGATGGACCCTACTTCAAAACTTCCTCTCCATATCAACAAAACCAGCAGTTTCCACAGGGTGCATAAGCCCCAGCATGGTACTAACGTGGCTGTCTGTCGCATCTGAACTAGGCTTCATAAAAAAGATGAATTAAACAGGACAGCAAATTAATCCATGTTTCAAGACAAAGTACTGGTAATTACACTATTTTTTTCACCTAGTTTCAAATGGCTGGAAATCCAAATGCAGCCAAAGCAAGCACAAAAAGAGTTTCACGTGCAAAATGAGTCTATACAATCAGCACCTTGGTGTTATTTGTTTCTCTACACAGAATAATGAATTAGTTCTGACAAAGTAGGAAAACACAGCGCTTCTCAACAAGGCTTTACAGGCTCTCAAAGACTCTCTGGCTATTCTGCCATTACCCACAGCACACTCGTGCCTCTTCCAGCATGTCAAATAGCACGAGCGAAAAAGCAACAAAAATGTTCTCCACTGTTCTCCACTTGGACATCTACATGGCTACAGCAATGTAAAGAAACAAATTTTGTATATTCCCCATGACTATTAGTCTCTCTTACTCTCTCTTCTGCCATATCTGTTCTCTCCTTCCAAGGCTTCATAAATTGGAGAAATAAGATCCATCTTTATAAAGTACTTCTTCCTCTCTTTCTGTTCCTATGTTTAAGACTACCAGTGGTGCAGCCACACAATGGACTTCTTTTTGAAGGAGACAATATGGCCCTAAGCCTTAATGGCACAACTACTTTTTTGATCTTGACTACCGGACCAAATTCTCACCCACCTGTTAACAATATTAATTCCATCACAGACCTATGATGCATTCATCCCTGTATCACAGCCAGTCCACAGAAGTGACTTTGCCAAGAGCCCCTGAAACCTCTAGCTTTAAAATGCCATTCCACCCAAGGGCACACACATCAAGTATATGTGTGAATTACCTGTACCTACACCGCACACCAGAACTCTGTGTGATGCTTTTTAATTGCATTATCCAGATAGCATACGCTGCAAAATCAGTACCCAGATCACTTTGCTTTCAAATCCGATTAAATTCTGAAGCTTTTCAGGACATCTTTTGTTCTGGAGAGTACTGGTCACTGCAACAATTTACAACCTCTCTCAGCAGTGGACACCCCTTCAGTTTCTTTTGCTCCCCGTCCCCAGCTCAGAAGGCCAGGTCCGCGAGTCAAATGCTGCTTATCGCACACCAGTTCTCCACTTGGCAGGTATCTCATTTGACAAATCACAGCCAGATCATGCCAGTCCTATTACCCTCCCACAGTCTGCGGTTGGACCTCTGCATTCATTTTATGCCTGCTTCTCTCAAGTTTAATCTGTTGCTTTAAAATTACTTGGAAGAACACTCAGATTAAGCTTTATATACTCCCACACTAACAATCCCTAAAGACATACACAGAAACCAAAGATAATTTCTTTACAACGTTAAATTGTAAGTTTTCTTAGTTTATGGTACTCAAAAGTATAAATAGAGAAAGCAGAAACCGAGCAGGTCATGACAGTTAGACATATTCTTCCAAAGAGGGTAACTATGTGCACCTGGTTACCAAAAATAACTGGAGAGTTGGTTATGTACACTAAAAGTAGCCTAATAGGTATTACTCCGCTCATCACATCTATGAGGTAGGTTTACTGTCCAAGGAAGTAAATACATGCAAGAACTATGTTGTTACATGCACACACACTCCTAAGTGTAAGGCAGAAATACAGCTACCTTTAACTGTCCTACTACTTGAAAGCATGTTGAGGGCTGACAAAGAGAGCAGTGCACTCTGATAGCCCACGTTATATGCAGATTATACCTATGTAATCCAGTTAATAATTCAGATTACTGTGCTCCACTTGAGAATTTAACATTTTTTTTATATATTGGTTATACACAGGAAGTTGCTCTAAGCCTCCTCTTCCACTTGAGACTTTCAGTACAAACGGGAGACAGATGGGATCAGAAGCACATTATGGTGCCCTTCATTCTAAGGCTACCAGTCAAGTGCCAAAAGGTTTTGTAGCAACCAAGCTGTTCCAGCCTGTCAGGCCTCAGCACCACGGATGGTTTGACCAAGGCACATCATAACCACAACTCATGGCCTCTGACAAACTCATCCTACTCCGACGACCCAATAGCATTGCATTGATTCTGTCAGTACTGTAACAATCTTGCTCTGAAGTAATATGGAGATAACTTGTATTTCTGCTGCTACTTTCCTTCACAGATTTTTTTTTATGTGTTCTTTGTTTTGAATTTGTTTCCTTTTTTTCTTTTTTTTTTTTACAACTGTGGATACAGGGAAAACCCCAATGGTAATATGGCACTATTACTTCGTTAACCCTGAACTCTTGTTAAATAAGAATCATTACCCAGATTAAAAAAAAATAAAAGTAATTCAAATGGATGCCCTTTAAACTTCCATTTTCCATAACCACTGCACACCTATCACATGAATCCTCCACAGAACCACACACAGACTTAATCTTACTACCCCGGTTATCCCAAGAGGAAAATAATTACAGAAAACTCTCCCTGATAAAATCATTAAGCCTAAGTCTGCGGGATCTCAGCCGGGGGGTGTGTTCAGCAGGGTGTTCCCAAACGCACCGAATTCCGCGCACTGCCCGCGCACGCTTCCATGGGTTCTGAATCGGGCCTTTGTAAAGTACCGCTCCATTCCCAAACTTTCCAGAGGTCGCCCACCCAGGTCTCCTTCCTCCCCACAGCCACCCCGGGCAGCCCGCACGGCACGGCTCTCCAAAACGCCTCTGCGCACACGACCGGGATGAACATCCTTCCCACCTCCGGCAGCCCCGCGCTTCACCCAGCCAAGTCTCCACTCCCGATGCTCAAACCTCTTCAAACACCGGCGGCGCCCCACGCTCCCCGCCCGCTTTTAGCCGCTTTTCGCCGCCCGCACCGGCCGCCCCCGGAGCCGGACAGCCGCTTCCCCTGGGACTTGTTGAGCGCCGGCCCGTCCGCCCCCGGCGCCCCCGCAGCCCCTAGCGCCCGCCCGCTTCCCAGCTCCGCTCCCGGCCGCAGCCCGCCCCCACCGCTACCCGGCCTGGTCCGGGACGCCGGCCGGCCCGGCGCGCCCCACCCCGGCGGCTCCGCACCCCCGAGCGGGCCCCTCCACCGCTCCCGCCCTCCCGGGACGCACCTTGAGGCTGCCCCGGAGGAGGCCCTTGCCGTGGCCGGTCAGCGCCGAGGGGGCGCTCCCCAGGCCGCCCTCCTCCTCCTCCTCTTCTTCCTCCACCTCCACCACCACATCTTCGTCTTCGTCCTCCTCCTCCAGCGCCGCGGCGGAGCCCTCCCGCCGGGGCGGCCTCCAGGCGCTCTCGGGCTTGGGGGGCCGGACCGCGTCCACCTGCGCGGCCGCCGCGCTCAGCCGCCGGCTGCCCATGCTGGAGCGCTTGGCCAAGCGCCGCGCCTGCATGGTGCCTCCTCCCGGCCGGCCCGGCCGCCTCCCGCCGCGCTCAGCCCCAGCCGCGGGCAGCGGCCCCGCCGAGCTGCCCAAGGGGCGGCGGCGGCGCTCACCGGGGGGCGGCGGTGGGTGTGTGCGGCGGGCGCGCCGCGGCCATGGGGGCCCGCGGGCGCGGCCAGGCGGGCCCGGAGCCGGCGCGGCCGCTGCGCCGCTCGCCCACCTGCTCCCGGCGCTCTCCTCCTCCTCCTTTCCCAGCGGCTGCCGCCCGGCCCGGCCCGGCCCGGCCCGGCTGTCGGGCGCGGCGCGGGGTCCGCTCCCGCTCGCCCTTCCTCGCCGCCGCCGGTCCCCGGCGTCAAAACCCGGACTGGATTCCCGCCGGCCGCGGCTCCGCCAGGCGCGGCGGGGCCGCGCTGCCTTCGCCCGCAGGAGCGGGCGGGCTCCCCTGCGGGCGGCACCGGCCCCCGACACACACCCGCCCCGGACCCGGGCCACCCTACCGGGGCACCGGGGCCCGGGCCGACCCTGCTGGGGACGGGTCTGTCTAAACGGCAGGAGGGCCGGGAGTGCCCGACAGGACACAGAGGGGCTGGAGCGAGTACAGAGAAAGGCAAGGAAGCTAGTGAAGGGTCTGAAACACAAGTCTTACGAGGAGCGGCTGAGGAGAGGCCGGAGGGGTTTATTCCTGGAGAAGAGGAGGCTCTGGGGTGACCTTATCGCTCTCTACAACTCTACAAATACCTGAAAGGAGGTTGTAGCCAGTTGGGGGTCGGCCTCTTCTCCCAGGCAAGAAGCGACGCGACGAGAGGACATAGGCTTAAGCTGTGCGGGGGTGGTTCAGGTGGGACACTAGGAGGAATTTCTTCACAGAAAGAATGATTAGACATTGGAATGGGCTGCTCAGGGAGGTGGTGGAGTCACCGTCCTAGACGTGTGTAAGGAAAGACTAGATGTGGCACTTAGTGCCATGGTCTAATTGACATGGTGGTGTTCAGTCATCGGTTGGACTTGATGATCTCAGAAATCTTTTCGAACCTAATTGATTCTGCATGGTGCCTCCGCCCGGCCGGGCCGGCCACCTCCCGCCGCGCTCAGCCCCTGTGACTGACAGCCTCCACCTGCAGGACAGGCTCTCAAGATGTCTAGGGCCTCGGTGAAAAAATTATTTTAGCTCTCCTCCCTAAAAATGATAAATGGGGGCGAAAATTGAAATTTTGGAGAAAAAAAAAAACACAGAAAAAATGTTTGTGGGGTTTTTTTTCCCAAGATCAATAATTGAAGCAGTGTTATCTACACCCAGTTGGGGAGAAAACGATCCAGACAGGGAAATAGTTATGGTTTAAATTCTCATAATTCTGTGCTTAAAGCTTTAAAATACCTTTCTGAAAAGTTTTTTTTTTAAATTAAAATAGTTTCCCAACAGTTTGAAGTTACTACAGTCATCATTTAAATTTATTATGGGCTTCTATGCCATTTATTAATGCCTCCTGAGACTGAATTATACTTAACGTTGTCATATGCTTTTCCTAACCTCTTCCATTATAAGTCTTAAGGCTACATTTACATGTTATTTTTGAGCCATAGTATTTTTTCCCATTTACAAATGAATCACAGTAATTCCCTTTTCAGTGTTCAGTACCTTTTTCCCTGCACATTGTTTTAGCCACATGCCAACAGGCCAAGTGTACACCTGTCAACATGGGGCCAAGCTTCACCCTAGGTTAATTTGTCCATCAAAAAGTGATTATATTTTTCATTCTGGAATATAGCATACAGCACTTTCTAGGCAAAAAATTATAGATAATACAGTACCTATTCTTAAAGAAATAATGAAGTTACTTTTCATGGCCAACTATGTAAGTTGTTTGAATTTTTTTCAACCCAATCCACAAAGAAAGTTGTTTTCATTCATTCTTTCACGGTTCCCAGAGATTATATGTCCCTGGAAAAGAGCTGCAACAAAATTGCTGGCAAATTCTGGTATATCAGGTCTCAGCAGTATTTCCCCACCAATCCAAGTGTCTCTTCCAGATGTCTTACCACAGCTTTGACCAGCTGCACTGCAACATTGGCTCAGCCCATCTAACAGCAGCCAAAACTCCTGGTACATCCTGCCACAAGATGTTCTATCTTTTTTCCTTCCACTGCATGTGCACTTAGCTTCTTGACACGTGGTTAATCAGTCGTAGTTTTTTTAAGCTTATGCTGCATAAAGGATAGATTTGTGGAAGAAAAATAAAGGACAAATTATTTTTTTTCCATTTTATTCCTATTCTGAATGTTCAGATTTAATCTTTTGATTTGACATAAATAAGTTATGTTTAAACTTGAATTCCAACATGAATTTCAATGGTATTCTCAGTTCTTTAATACTTGTACCTCAAAGGCACAGAAATGGAATCATTCCAATACCTCCTAGTCTTCAAATTATTTGAAATGTTTTGTATCATTTGAATAACACCTGAATCTAATTGTGATTTTCTGTAGTAGCCTGTGTTCACAGTTATCTGAATTACAACCATGTTACTGAGAGTCCTATTCCTATCTGCCACGTATTGACATATATGTTGAGAGACTTCCTTGACTTTTTTCAAAGGCCTGCATGCTTTAATTGCAGCAAAACCAGAGCCAAAAATTAGAAATTATATGCACTGAATGTGTTATCACTGAATTGTCTTATATGAGCCAGCATGAACACTCCACATAACAGAATGGAGACCAAAGGATCTCTTGCAGAAAACAGTGGTGATAAAGGGTAGTTGGTCTTGCACAGGCATGTCTGTTAACTGCCATGACAACTCACACTTCAGCCTCTGTTTGAACTCCCTATTCAGCCTTTTTGCCAGGTTAGTTCCAGGACCTGCTGTAAGGTACAGCTGGCTTGACACCTCTTGCCTGAGGTCTGGTGAGTGAACACAGAAGCAGAGATTGTTAACCAACAATCAGGCTTTCATTTGTCAGTTCAACAATTGTTTCAAAAATTACTAGTTGGGTTCTCTGTTTTGGTGGCAGGAGGCAGAGAAGAGAGGCTCACAGAGGTTCTTGGGAACAAACAAAACATCCCAGGCCTGCCTGCATGCCTGCCTGCCGGAGGGTGCTCCATCCCCCAAGATGCTTCCTCTTCCTTCACAAGACTCCAGCAGATCATGGCCCCTCAGATCTCAAAGCAGAGCAGGACAGCAGGGGAGCCCTGCAACAGTCAGTCAGGGCGACAGAGGAAAAGTGTAATCACATTCTGGTGGAGGGAGATGTGATACAATAATTTTCATGTCAGGAGGGTTAAGGAATGGCAGTCCTAGGAAGGGGCTTCGAGAAAACTAACTTTCTATTAGTAATCTGAGCTGCTAGGGCTTCTTACTCCTGCTGGGTTATCAAATGCAACGAGAAGCCAGCGTTGACAACTCTACAACAGATTGGTTAAAGATTTCTAGCACTTCTCAGTCGAGCCAGATTGGAGCTGTAGTAAGAATAACTTCTTTCACAGTATTTGATACAAACAAAAGATAGAAATGACTGTTTGATCCATTTGTCCCAGTCTGTCTGACTTGCAGTATGAATGGAGCTGAAGCTGAACTCATGTTGCCCTCACAGGCTTCCCAGGGGAGCTAAATTATGTAAGAAGTCTTCTAAGGACACTAAAGGAGTCCTAGATACAGTCCTCTTCAGCATCTTTACATTCACAAATAATTAAGAGTCAAACACAAGCCATAATCCCCTATCACACATCAACATTTTTTTCCTTGAGACTCAGTCTTAGCACTCTTGGGGTGAACTGCTGAACAATTCTGGCCCATAGCCACAGCCTGACATCAAGTAAATTCTTGTGATACAGGGGGTAATATGGTATCACTTAGCTCAACAGAAATATCTCATGATTGTACTACAGTATAATATGCCTCTAACAAAAGTACAGGCTCTGGCTGGAATAATAGTTGTTTACATTTCAATGATTTCCAAGCTTATTAAAAGTTAATGTGCACATTCACACTCCCTTTCTGTACACAGCTCTCCAACACAGCCGAAGTGTTTCAGATTTTTTTTGCCTCTAACCTTAACAATCAGTTCATATTTCCAAAATAGAAATCTCTCCCTCTCTCTCCCTCTAGACATAGGAGATAATTCAGATGATACGTACATATAGGCATATATATCCCCCTCTAGAAGTCCTTCTAGAACAATCTGTGAAGGTGAATTACAGTGACAGCTTTTCAGTTCATCTTGAATAATTATTGTCTAATTTTTTCAGTATATCTACTGGGCAGCCCCTGTGCACTAGCCACAAAAAAAAAATAATCTGGCTCTCCCTAGCACTGCCTTAAGTACGCTATACTGATTAACATCAGCTGAAGTTTTCTTATGATACTTATTTTTTCCAAACATTTTATACAGTCCATCGCTCAGTTATTATAGTCAAATATTGCTCTCATTTTTAATATAATTATTAACTGATCTGTTTGACATTTTGTTCTATTCAGTTACTGCTGCTTTGTACAGTGATCATCACTGCAGGCAAAGCTTGCCTGACACCATATTGGGGAATGAGTTCCTTCGAAAAGCAGGTATTTTTCCATAATGCTCATGGAGGTACTACTCTGTAACCTCCTCCCTCGCTGGTCCCGGAACTGCTCCCACCAGGGACCATCACTCAGCAGTGCAGCTGCCAGCAGCGACAAGCACTAGAACGGCTAACAAGCATTGCTACGGGTGTGCTTTAGTTTGCCTCACAGGAGCAGGCAGATACATCGCAGTGTGCATTTTACTGGACCACCCGCAATCCTGCCTCAGCTAGCTCTCCTTTTTTTCTTTTATTATTTTTTTCAAAACGTTCCTGCAAGAAACAATGCATTTCTTTAATATCTGAATATTTTTCCCCTTGTCCATGAATGCCAGCTTTTTATCATTAGAGGAAAGATCCCCTCTGCCCCTACCTCCTCCCAGACTGATGCTATGGTTCAGCTCCTTATATTTAAAAAAGTCTAGCAGCAAGAGGAAGCAAAGAAACCCTCGATTTTCTGCACATATAATCACCACATATTTTTTCAAACATAACCTGCT